CATCAGTTCTATTTTGTGGGCAAAACCATTTCATTCAAACATTTATTAAAGAAGAGAAATCAAAGGCAATCTCGCACGATATCTTACCAGGTGAAAACCAATTCTTTACAAAAAAATCACCGACATTTTACAGACAATTGTCAACAATTATAATATAAGAAGTAAAGAAAATCAGCCCAAGGAGAGGAATGGGGGTACATTCCATTGGACAAGGACATAAAACAATAATTAATGATAAACACAAGGCGTGGCGTAGAGATTTATGGCGATAAGACAGAAGATTAAGAAATCAAGTCAAGGGTAGATTTTTTCGTATGATATGTTCGTGATTCCAATTGTTCAAAGTGAATATGCACTCCGTACAAAACTAGTAAAGTAGATGAACCTGTCATATTTAAGACATTTTTGGATAGGTGTGAATCTCAGTGACATCCAGAGATGTTAACTTCCAGTGTGAATTTAGAAAAAAAGTAAAAGCATCACGAACATTCACGCTGCTTTGGTATATTTTTACAGAAAACATCCGCTGAGAGAATGAAGCATTCACGTCAGGTTTTTTTCTCACGATTTCGTATAAAAGTGTTTCCTATACATGTACCAGTGATCATGGACGCGGTGGAATCTTCCTGAACGCAAGATTACATGGACAGACTTGCGGAAAATGGAACCTCTCAGGATATCCTTCATGCTCAGGTCTATGTATGACACACTGCCATCTCCAAGCAACTTGTGTAGGTGGGTTCTTCTGGAAGATCCAGCTTGTTCCTTGTGCGGTGGAAGAGGCACACTTGCACATATCCTATCAGGCTGTAGAGTAGCCCTCCAGCAGGGACGGTACAAATGGCGTCATGACCAGGTTCTAGCTGCCCTAGGTGATATTCTGGAAAAGGAGCGGCGTCAGAAGAGGTCACTGATAGAACCTCATAAACCTCACATACAGTTTGTGAGAGCTGGAGAGAAGGGACCACCAACTGCTACTGCATATCGTGTGAATGTACTCAGGCAAGCACCATCCTGGGAAATGAGAGTAGACCTCAACAAGCGTCTCGTCTTTCCTGATGTAGTGCAAACCACTCTGAGACCAGACATTGTGATATGGTCGCAACAGCGCCAGAAGGTCATCTTGGTGTAGCTGACAGTTCCATGGAAAGAAGGGTGTGATGAGGCACATGAGAAGAAAGCTGGCAAATAACAAGAGCTAGCAGAGCTGTGCAGACATAAGGGATGGAACACATGGCTGTTTCCAGTAGAGGTCGGTGCCAGAAGATTCCCTACACAGTCAGTATGAAAGATGATCCAGAAATTGGGACTAACAGGATCAAAGAGGAAAGCAGCTATTAAGACCTTTGCTGAAAGGGCTGAGAGAGCATCATGCTGGCTATGGTGTAGACGAGATAAGCCAAACTGGAGCCCAGACAACAGCAAGCAGTGATTGATCACCACTGCTGACCCGCCAACCAGAGGACGTCGTGGAATAGGGGTCGAAACGGCCGATGATGGTTGGAATCCACCTGACGATGCTGACAACAGAAGGCTCCAGAGCTCCATGTCATCAGTGCCTAACTGAAGCAGCGGTTGGGTTATCATTAGCAGAGAAATCTGTAAGTTCACAGTGTTTGTTGAATCTCACAGAAATGAGCTTTGAAAAGTGAGAACTTGTACATTCATGGACGTCATCTCCCATTTCGTCAAGTCTAACAGTATTACATCTTTGTCTAAATAAACCATCCATTAGAGATTCTCAATTTCAGTCACGGTTTCACCTTTCCTATAAATTAAGAAAAAATTCAACAAGGATGTTGGAGTGTTCCCAACTATTCCCAACATATCCTGTAGGTGGCTTCTAACAACCTATTAATTCAAATGTTACCCTCACTACATGTTACCGAATGTTGTTACACTATTGGGATCAGCCCTGTACTTGATATAAACATTGCTGATATGGAAGCATGTATCAAATGTTACCAGAAACAACGGCATTATTCATGATCACAGTAAGGTCGTTACACTTTAACATATAATGAAAAATGTAGATATTTGGAGTATTTGGCAAGCATAACATATATAAAACATATTTAGTATCTAAATGAAATGTTCACGCCGTCATATGATTCCCACATGTATGCACTGATACCAGTTATATTAAAATTTTAGCTTTTTCGGATAGACAAAACGCTCGTTTTGTACATATAAAATGAAAAACTTAGAAATCTAAAGAAAAAAGTCATCAATAATAAAAAGATAAATAAATCGGACACATAAGGGATCATTGACAATGATATTGACAACCAAGCTGATTAATTTCAGAATAATAACAATAGATACATTGCTTTGTCCCAGCCATGTAAACAATGAGATACGGCAGATATAACGCCATGTTATCATGCATGGAGATTTATCATAACAGTATGACTGATAATGTTATAAGATTGGAATAGCACAACTGAACACTGACTTAATCCATTTTCGTGATGCTCTTTCAATAAAAAATGCCAACGAGATTAAGAAACAAGTCGTATATAATTGTTTCACATACCTTAGTACAAGGCTTTTCCGTCCGCTTAAAATGCTTGTCACTTTCTTGGAAAGGTGAAAACGCAAAATATTTGAAATATTAATCACATATATCTCACAAGTATCACATAATAAACATATCTTTATAAATTGCGGCATCGTATATACATATATATATATATACATATTCCGTAATACGAGCGAAGTATACAATGAAACCTGCTTATTATGATATTCTATTTTCCAGATAAAAACATTACAATAACCTGTTTATTGTAATAATCGATAAGGTTATTTTGGTCATAAGAACCAGAAGTTAGACAAACATCATATCCAATATCATGATAAGTGGGATCCACTGTAGAAGTGCATTAATTCCTCTTCCAATTAAGTCTGAAGCATCCATGGGTGAAGTGGGATCCATTTTGAATTGACAATAGGTCTCGACTACCTAGTGCATGGAGGACGCGGCCCAGTAAGATTAATAGAGCAAGTTATTCAAAATCCTTAGTCTGTAGAAATTCCAGAATTTGTTCTGAGGCTTCAATAGGTGAAGGGGAATCGATTTTGTATAAACTAGGAGTCCTTCCCCTCCAGCTGATGTTGTTCAGGATGAGCAGGGGCCAATAATTCAGTGTGGAGGGAGGGGAAAAAGAAAATATAATTTTTGAAGCTCTTTTGTTGAAATGAAAATGTTTCAACCAAAGTTTGCTTCAAATGTCCTTGGGTGAAATGACTCCATATTATGTAAACCAAGAGTCCAGTATGGGAGTTTAACATAATTGTTTCTGCTTGAATGTAAGTGTTTGTCAAAATTTAGATTGATCCTTAAAAATCCCTCATATTTTTGGAAACATGTAACAATATAATTGTGAATAAAGTGGTTAATGTGAAAACTTAAATCTCTATGTGAGCGATACAGGCACCGGTGTGATATTCCTTTTGCATTTTTAAATGTCAAAATAAGAAAGTGGCTGTCTAAAACGTATTTTGCTTAAGGTGACTATTACCTTAGATTTCAACATGGAGAATTCGGCTTATGAATAATAAAATATATCCATAATAAAGCGATACACGCGCCTATAACGTCAAATTTGTTGTTTTTGTACATTTTTTTCGGCGTCGGAACATTGTTTATCTTGACTTTTGTTTATAAACATGTTCACGCTCGGTTGAATACGACGAAAGCCGAGTGGGTCACATGGCTTGTCACGTGGCAAAGTCATTTACTTCCGCCGCAAAGAAAAAACGGATTACGAGGTACACAAACGCACATGTCTTATGTATGACACTTGCTGTTGCGTCTTTCTGCTAATTCTTGTTTGCAGTAAATGGTTCCTTAGTGTTATAATATATAATTTTTAACAATCAATCTGAGTAATTCGTTTTATTTTGGCTTTGTCGTGCGAGAATTATCTATGCCAATCGCGGGCGCTAAACTAGTGGAGCCCCAAAGGGGGTAATTACAATCGGAAAAGAAAAAAAACAACTCATTGTGCAGAAATGCACAGGAATTGATACTTTATCTATACACATGAATATATATTGCACTGTTTATTATGAAGGCTATGTTTATAATCACGGTTGTTACCAGTACCGTAATATTTTTACACTTAGAACGAATACCCGCAATTGGGCCCCACCTTGCAGTCAACAACAAACACAGGTTGCCGATAGTAAATTCAAGCGAATAACACAACTATTTACATTCAACATTTATCAGATAACATATTTAGTAGTGTTATTCACAACACATTAACGCGTAAAACACAGGGTATTGGATTATAATCAATGACAGGCGGATACGTTGTAATTATAGGGCTGACATAAGGCTAACCAGTCAAGCAGCAGCTTCGCAAATTCCGAATCCGTATTCAGTCCAAGATCCTCCTTCATCTTCCGCCATCTATCGACCTCTTGTTGAATACAGATTCTTTCAAGTCCTCTTTTCTGGTCCGACTCCTTCCTCTTACGCTTTCAGGCACTTTCTGTAAGGTAACTTTCAGGTCCTCGTCGACTTTTCGTATTTGAGTCCGCCATATTGCTTCTTTCTAGGCTTATACGCATGCGCAGCATCAAGGGTTACGAGCGGTAATGTATGAATTAGATCAGGGCCGCAATGTTTACATTCTTCATTTTTTTAGATATCAATAAAAAAAACGGTTGCAGTGACTTTTAGTTTTAGTAATTAACAGAAAGTCTTAGTTTTGTAACATACTATTGGGAAATAGAACGTTTTATATCGTTTTCTCGTAGTGTTTTTTAACATTATAGTCTCTTTAACAATAATGATAATGATAATATACAACATTTATATAGCGCCCTATATAATTTCATAAATCACTCTAAGGCAATTTACAGTGCATGTAAAATTTCAGTCATGGTATCAATAATACATTATATATCTACATATATGTATGATATGCTGATCCGCATGATCACCAGAAAAACACCACATGTATGTACATGTAGCAAAATTTACTAGTCTAAGAAAAAGCACACCTGAACAGATGGGTCTTAACACCCTTTTTGAAAGTGGCGAGTGTTGTTGCTTTCCTGGTTTTGGTTTGTGATGGTAGGTTACTCCACAGTGTGGCTGCAACCTTCCCAAAACATCGGTCACCATAAGTCACAGTACACGACTTAGGCACACATAGCAGGGACTCAGCCTCTGACCGTAATGAACGTGAAGGCTGGTAGGGAGTGACGAACTCTGATAGATAACCAGGAGCTGTTCCATCGAGTGCTTTGTAGGTGTGCATCAGAATTTTGTACTGTGATCTATAATGCACAGGTAACCAATGTAAGGAATGTACCACGGGTGTAATGTTATGTTTGCTAGTACTGGAAACAAGACGCCCATCAGTATTCTGGACTTTCTGCAGGCGCTTAGTTGCCGAGTCTGAGATTCCATATAAAAGGGCGTTCCCATAGTCCAGGTGAGAAGCCACAAGTGAATGTAACAGTGTCTTGCATGCATCCGTAGTGATGAACGGCCGAATACGTCCAATATTCCGAAGTTGGTAGTAACAGCTTTTTGCAATAGCATTCACCTGCTTTTCCATGGTCATTGAACTGTCAAAGTGTCCGCCCAGGTTTTTAACAACTGAAGCTGCCTTAATTCCGATCAATTCAAATTTAAGTCACAAATTATGGGAAATTTACATAATTAAAAAGATAGCGATAATAAACTTTAGCTCTGTCATTGTCCACGTTGGTTTCTTGTCACTGAAATGTTTTTATGATCACTTTAAATATCTAACAGATACACCATAGAACCAAGGGCAACTTATACACTAAACTTCCGTCTCAACTCCTGTTTACACTATCAATAAGGGAAATAAGAATTATGTAAGGATTGATGTACGTCGAACAAGATTTGAATAGCCCACTCAATATAATTGACTTCACTATCAGCATTTCCTCCCCTCTTCCAACAATAAATTTCGCAGAAGAAAAGCCTGTTACGCTTTCAGCAAATTGCGACTTGTGAAAAAAAAAAAGATGGCGGACCTGGTAGAAGCCGACGATTCATCGTCTCCTGAAAATTCTGTGTTATGCGAAGATACACGTCCGAAGGAGTACTATGAACTCCAACCAGTTCCCTTACAAGTCTTTGGCGATGCTTTGTGACAATAATTCTCAGGACTTTGATGTATTTACTGATTGTTTTGATACGGATAAACAGGTGAGCTCTATGCATGAATGTGGTAATGATCTGGATAGTACTCTACTTGACTGTTCAATGACCCAGTCTCCTGATGATCCCTTTCCAAACTCGTGTATTCCTGATCAGGCATTTATTCAAAGTTTGGATGACGGTCTGTTTAATTTGGCAAAAGACTCGTAAATTTCTAAACTTTTGAAGTTAACACATAGCTCATTGACTCCATTACCTGGTATAGGACGACTCTATTGAACAGAGCGAGAACTATCGAGGGGTGCCCCGAAGGGGATCTTGTTACCAGGAAAAGCACCCAAAGAGGTGGTTCTAGTGCTAAAAAATATACCAGAGACTGTTACATACTGTACCAGTTCCTCCATGGTGATAAAACTGACATCGGGTCTATATTTACTCGTCAGAGACAGAAGTTAGACTCCATCACACCAGACACTGCCTTAGTCAATCATAGCGTGGCCGATTTAGCATGTACCGTGCATAGTTTAGTCGAGAGAGTTTCATCACTTGAAACTAGCCTGCAGCAATGTCTTAAGCGTGAAAAAGACTCTTCGATAAAGATCCTTAACCTAGTGTTGGAAAACAAGAACTTTAAAACAAAGTTAGGTTATGTAGAAGAATCAAGCTACAAGGCCCTTTTCTGGCACTACTTTTCCATCAGATGGAAGTTCTTATGTGATTTGTAGAAAGGACATTGAAAAAATATCGTCTAAAGTGAGCTCCCCCCTCCATCCAGGAGGTCCGCGGCGGATAATGACATTTTTTGTTGGGGCATATCTTCGTCTGGGGTTTCGGTCTCTGGAATCAGCATGTTCAATTCCAGGAATGGCCTGCTTTCTGCGAAAATTGTCGTACCGAGATCCCAAGCGCATATTCTCGAAAATCAAGATTTCTGGCCGAGAGAAATTAGGTGCAGAAGATGGCTCCATAACAATCTATGGCGCGACAAAGTAGAACAACAATCGGTTTCTTCATTCAGAGATATATATGAACCGGAAAACTTGTAACATTCTCCTGTCAGTGGTAACTCTGTGGCTTATCATGTCCTTGTCTGTTTTTACGTGGAATGTAAGAGGGATAATCTCGTCGTCACTTTGTATTCATAGACTATTGTCAACTAACGCGTGTGATATAGCTCTTCTTTGTGAACTTCGACTCCCGGTTAGTTTCCATGCAGTATTCATGAAAAATACCTTCCCAACGCTTATGGATAAGAACTATAGTTCCATATGTTGTGGCAATGGTGGGCTTATATTTCTCGTCCGTAAAGATCTGTGCTATTCTATAGAGGAATTAGATATCAGTCAATCAAATCGTGTCATTGGTTTGAGTATCCATCGTGTCAATTCGTCGCCTCTTTTTGTGTGTTGAGTTTACTTGCCAAGTGATTCAAATGTACAGGAATTCTCAGAAGCTGTCGATGTCCTTGGTGATATAAACTCCCAATATGATACGATTCCAATCTCGCATTAAGCGCGCCGTAAGAAAACTCTGATTGATGAGTTGATTTCCTCCAATAATCTTATTGCTCTCAATACATCGGATATGTGTACTGGTCTTCCATACACCTTCGTACCACTTGAAACTACTCTTGACTATATCTTAATTAAAGACGCTATGATTGACTGTATTGAGTCACACAGAGTTTTCTCCTCTCCCAATACAGACATAGCGTCTGACCACTCTGTTTTGGTATGCTCTATCCGTTCGCCAGCGATTCTACACTCAGTGATTCCGATCCCTAGCTCGCGCCCTAACTGACGGAAGTGCAATGTTGATAGCCTGATACAGTATCAGCTAGCAGTGGATAACATGTTACAGCCGTATACTGACTTTGTCATCAGTGTGCCGTCAGATATTGATACATTCAATGGTATTATCACGGACACTTTGATCTCCTGTGCGCAATATTGTATTCCCTTATCGAGTTTCAATCCACGATTAAAACCGTGCTGGAACAGGGATGTTAAAGCTGCTCACAAGTTTGCACGTGAACGTCTGAAAGAGTGGATAGAAGATGGAAAACCGCATGGCTTCATGCATCCTGCCTTTCGACGCTACAAGGCTGCAAAACGAGCGATCAAAAATGCTCAGCGCGGTGCTTATGAAGCATACCTACTTTCCCAACTGCAAAATTTAAATGATGCAGCAGACTGTGACAATAAAACCTTTTGGCGAGCTCTGAAGCAGTTCAAAGGTCACTCTCCTAGTACCTGTCCGCCATTGAAAGTTGGCAGTGAAACTTTGAGATCTCCCGTCGACGTCGCAGAAGCATTTGGTAATTACTTTCGGAATACATATCAAGTAAATGCCGGTTGTGCGGACCCAGTTAACCTTGAGATATCTTATTTTCCAACCAATTGTCTTGACTCCGATATTCTTAATATGACGGCGATTTTCTCTTAAACTGAGCGAGCTATCAGAAGTTTGAAGTTACGGTAAGCACCAGGTGCAGATGGTATCCAAAATGAACATATACGATACGGAGGCCGCACGCTTATCTTATGTATACAGAAACTCTTCACCAGATGTATTGAGCTGGAACATGTGCCTGTAATTTGGAAAATAGGAATTATTCTTCCTATTTTTAAAGGTGGTAAAAAGTCACGTGGTGACCCTTCTAGTTACAGACCAATCACCCTTTTATGTTGTATGTATAAGCTCATCAGTACTCGTTTACAGGATTGCCTTGACACTTCTGTTCGGCCATTTCCAAATGCAAAACAGAACGGCTTTCGTAAATTCTTACGACGCACGACTGAAACGTTTTCATTATAGGAGACAATATACCACAATATCGAATTAAATAGTGAAGTCTTCTTGGCCTTTCTGGACATAAAAAAGGCTTTTGACACTGTCTGGCATTCAGGTCTCATGCGTAAACTCTTCCTTCTCGGAGTCAAAGGTCCTCTCTTCAAAACAATCATCGATTCTTATAATGACATGACAAGTGCCGTGATGTGGCATGGGATGACGTTACAATGGTTTCCTGTTTGATCGGGGGTAAGGCAAGGAGGGGTCCTATCTACGTTTTTATATCAAACGTACATCGACAAATCGACAAATTAGAAAATAGAAATCACGGCGCAAAGGTGGCGATCTTAGATACCGGAAACCCAACCTTAGCAGACGATATAGCTCTTATAAGTACATTCCCACTCTCACTTCAATGACTCCTGCTTTTTTTTAAATCACATGTTCCTTTATCACAATCTATTCGGATCAGGTAAGCTAAAATGGTTTATCGTCTGTATACAATGTATTGTAGATTTGTACGTACTAGAGTACTTACTGAACCTCTATTCTTAATTAAATCCCTCAGCACCAGAATGCAGGCATTGGTAGGTTTTCTAATGTCTCTGAAATAAGAAATGAAAAATTGACAAAAATATCCCAATGATGCATTAAACAGCGTCAATTATATTTAGATGAAGTTCATAAAAAGCAATGGATCCCATTGTTTGATCTTTATTTGCCCTTTGAAAGTTGGATATTTTCTCTTCTTTTCTCTACTCTTCTATGTGTTTGTTCTTAATGATAATAAATTTGAATATTCCCTTGCAGAAATGGCGATGAAAATCGTAACCTGCCAAAACCAAGACGGTCGCTTGGAAGTCATTTTGTTTTATCAGATGAGTTCTAAAATCACACGGACAAAAGAGACCAAAGTATGTATGAAATTTCAGAGAGATCCATTCAGTAATCCCAAACTCAAACAGGCATAACTAGTTACAAGGAGGAATCTATACCTGAAATTTGAGAAATGTCTTTGCAGTATTTCAATGTCAAAATCCAAGATGGCCTCCTTTTGGCCATATTCTTTCCCTGAACAGTACTAAAATCAAACAGGCACAATTAGAGATCAAGGGCAACATACACATGAGATTTGAGAAAAAGCTGTGTAGTTCTCAAAAGTTAGCTACAACAAACTTCTTAAGTCAAAATTCAAGATGGCCGCTTGTCAGCCATTTCATAATTTTAATAACTTAAAAAAACGAACGGGTACAACTACGGGCCAAGGGGAACCTACATATGAAATTTGAGAAAGATCTATCCAATACTTCTAAAAATTAGCGATAACTAAATTTGTTTACGGAAGGACGGACGGACCACGGACGTAGGGCTATTTGAAAAGCCCACTATCAGATGTGGGCTAAAACGCTAGTTCAAAATGTCCTCCTCCTTGTGTTATTTCCATTTTAACTGTGGTTGTATCAAAATTCGCTCTTAACATTAAAAAATGTTTGATTAATATTATCCATCATGCAATCTAATGACTAATTTTGACTTTTCTTTCTATCACTTTGGATTTTGCGTATTCGCCTCTTAGGCTTCAAAGTACGATACTGCTGTATGATGACGTTTTATTCCTTGTATTTGTATCAAAATGTGTTATTGACCTGTATCTTTTGTACAATCTTTGATTAAGTATTACAGACTTGATAGAAAATGATGAAATATGAATGTATGTCTTACGTACACACTGACGTGTATCCTATAACTAGGTCTACAATCTAAATATAGATTTTATGTCATCTCCTGATTATATGTATGGTCTATAAATAGCTTAACAAAAATACTTTATTTGAATCTAATACTGAACACCTGCAATTATATGTCGCAATCTGATTATCATGGAAGTGGTATTGATGATATCTATGATAATTATGATGACATGAAAATAACAAATACGCAGCTATATGATATATATTTTACGTCACATGTGTCTACTTAGTTCAGTTCTATCACAATGGTATTGTATTGTATCTATTCTAAAATCACGGCTGACTCTGAAGAAAAATCATTTGCAATTTAACGAGAACATCTCGTTTTTTTGGGTTTTTTTTTTAGAAAGAATGGAGATTCCTCCAAAGGGGTAGACGCACTAGACGGTGACCTAGATGATTCGATCGAGAAGTTAGCGACCTTTTAGTTTTTTTAAGGCTATTTTGTGGTTTGTTACTTGCTATTGAAATTGAGTCCAAAAGTACCTGTAACTGGGACCGTTGTGTGTTACATCGTTTTGTCTTATCAGGTTTTTATTTCTCTTTACGTAAAGCAAGACATTCAGATATCTGAAATATTGTAATCAACTTTACGATATATTTCAATATGTTTTATGTTAATAATAAAAATAATAATAATAGTCTTTTTTATACTTGGTAACAGAATGAGTCGAAGACTCGTCTACCTTCTGGTCAAGTATACATAAAATGTACAATAATTACAAAATGTACATAAAACAGAGAAACATTTAAGAAAACAGGAAAAAAGTGCATCAGTTAAAGAATCCACAGCAAATTAAGAGGAGTCCATAAAAAACGTTTTGGCACTTTGTTTAAAAGATAAAAGTGATGATGCGTTTCTCACGGAATCTGGTAAAATATTCCAGGTATATGGTCCCCGATAGGTAAAAGATTTCTTATACAATGCAGTCTTAAAAGCAGGTAGATAAAATATGTTATTAGATGATGATCTAGTAAATCTGGACTGGACATCAGAAGTATATCTAAAATTGTACAGATACTGGGGAGCCAGACCGTGTAAAACCTTGTACGTTAAAACTGATTGGATGTACATCACTCGCTTTGTAAAAGGTAACCAGTTCAGCTTCTTATACATGTCACTGGACAGAGTATTGAAATCACACTTCAAGATAATCCTAGCGGCTCTTTTCTGGAGTTTTTCGAGCTTGGCTATATTATTATGTGAAGTATTGCCCCAGATATTTACACAATAGTTAAAATGTGGATTTACAAAACAGTTAAAGTATGTTAAACAGGAAGACTGGCTAAGAAACACTCTCAAACGTTTCATTTGAAAATGTAAAAAGATAGTTTTTTGTACACATTGTTAACTTGGGTATTCCAAGACAAACAATTATCTATGTAACAACAACGTGGTCGTGGACGCTTACCTCATTTCCTATCAAGTCGATTAGCACATTATGATATTACATTTCCCTCTCTTTAACGAAACAATAAAGTGCATTAGGACATTAAATGAATTTAACCAAATAATGGTTTTGTCTGATGGTGTCTCTAACACAAATGAAGATCTCTGACTACAGTCCTGTTTACTGAGTATCTCCATTAATTTACGTAATATCAAATAATTTGGACTAGAAATACACTGACTTAATTATAAGAAAATAGAACATAAACAATAAATTTGATATAAGCAGAACCCTGTTCTGCAAGACTGCACGGGGATTATTTTGCCCCAAAACACAGTGCAAGTATTAACTAAAGACATGTTAACATTTTAACAGTTCCAGATCTGATGTTAGAACGCTAAAGAATTATGAGTCAAATTTCTTTGGTGTTTTCACACGTCTGCCAGATCGAGTTACACGCACTGGAGACTTTACAGTTATAGCTAGGTTTGGAGTCCCACTATTACTAGGGTCAATTGTTCTCTGGGTTGATTCTGGTTCAGGTTGACACAGCTCATCATTCATATTCGACTCGATTTCTACGGGTTCATCTAGTTCCTGATCAAATTTTGACGGTCTTAGGAATTTTCTGTTTCTACGGTATAGGCGGTTGCCACTAGATACAATGTACGAGCGCGGTTTTAAGTGTTTCTCAATCACTGTGCCTGGATTCCATTTAGCTGATTTACCAGATTGTGTTGGACTAACGCGTACGGGTTCTCCTACATTAAGAGGAGGCAACTCTTTTACTCCTCTACGATGATCATAGTAAAATTTTTGCTTCTGTTTCTCTTTATCAAAATGTTTCTTAACCAGGTTTGCGTTGTGATTTGGTTTGAGTAAATCTTTGGATGTCGGTAAGATGTTTCTTGGTCGTCTACCCATGAGTAATTGTGATGGATACATGTTAATGCCTTCAAGTGGTGTGGTACGGTAATCAAGTAGACACATCTGTTTGTCTTCATTTTTACGCCAGAGATGTTTTACTATTTGTATAGCACGCTCTGCTTCACCGTTTGAGCTCTGAAAGTGCGGGCTAGGATGTACATCACTCGCTTTGTAAAAGGTAACCAGTTCAGCTTCTTATACATGCACACTTCAAGATAATCCTAGCGGCTCTTTTCTGGAGTTTTTCGAGCTAGCTGTTTCAGATTCAATTCCTATTGACGCACAGAATTTCTTAAACTCATTAGAACTAAACTGTGGTCCATTGTCTGATCTTAGCTTCACTGGAATACCATGACATGCAAATATTGGTTTTAATGCTTCGATTATTGCTTTGGCATTTTCGAATTGAAGTGGAGCTACGTCAATGTACTTTGAATAATAGTCTACAACAAGTAGATATTTCTTTGACTCAAAATCAAATAAATCACATCCAACAAAACTATATGGCAGATCAGGGGTTGGAGTTGGTTTTAGTGGTTCCGCTGGCTGTTGTTTTTGGTATTCATTACACTGTGTGCAGTTAATGACCATTGAGTCTATGTCACTGTTCATACATGGCCAATACATAACTTCGCGTGCGCGTTGTTTACATTTTGACATGCCAAGGTGTGATTTGTGAATAAGTTCCAGCATGTTCCCTCGAAGACTCGGGGGTATTACTAGTCTTAGGCCTTTGTAGATTATCCCATCTAGTACAGATAACTGGTCCCTAGAGTCCCAGTAGGGTCTTACTTCTACCGGAGTTTCACTTCGTGTGTCTGGCCACCCATCTATTATGACTTTGTGCAGTGCTGATAGCTCAGTTTGAGTTGGACTTTTTATTTCTGCATATTTGTCAATACTGACGGACAGCATGTTTATCATGTCTTCTTGCCTATCAAACTCAGAATGCTGATTTTCTGTCTGAAGGAATGCTCTGGACAGTGTGTCGGACACTTGCATTTCTTTGCCTTTCCGGTATATAACTGTAATGTCATACCATTGTAACCTTATCATCATTTTCCGAATTCGCATAGGTGCGGACAGTAGTGATTTCTTAAACAGTTGTTCTAGTGGTTTGTGGTCATTATAAACCTTGACTTCTTTGCCATATATATATCGGTGAAACTTCGTTGCACTGAATACAATGGACAACATTTCTTTCTCAATCTGAGCGTAACGTTTCTCAGTTTCTGTGAGCGAACGTGAAGCATATGCGATTGCGTGTTCTCCTTGCATTAATACAGCACCATTGCTGGCATCACATTCAATGTATACAGGTTTGTTTATATCATAAACTGCTAGAACTGGTGGGTTGGTACACAGACGTTAAAGTTCTTTATAACTTTCCTGCTGTTCATGTTGCCACGCAAACTCTACGTCAGACTTCAAGAGTGTACGCAAAGGAGCGTCAATACTGCTTAAATCTGGCAGAAATTTGGCGAGATATTGGACTAAACCTAGGAAGCGGCGTACCCCTTCTTTGTCAGTAGGTGCAGGCATCTCTAGTATGGCCCTGACCTTTCCTGCGTCTGGCTGTAGACCGTGTTCAGTAATCACGTGACCTATAGAGTTCACTTTGGGTTGCCTTATTTTGCACTTCTCGTAGTTAAGTTTCAGGCTGTACTTTCTTGCACGTTCGACAACTTGCCTCATGATTTTATCATGTTCCTCTAGATCTCTCCCAGCCACAAGTATGTCATCTATGATGGTGAATGCACCTTGGATACCTTCCAACATTTGGTCCATGATACGTGGATAGATTTCTGGAGCTGATTTAATTCCAAATGGGAGTCTGAGCCACCTGTATTTCCCTAACGGTGTATTGAAGGTAGTCAAGTATGAAGATTCTTTGTCAAGTTTAATTTGGAGGAATCCTGATTTTGCATCTAGCACAGAGAATACTTTGGCTTCAGAAATTACATCACCAATCGTTTTCATTGGATGGTGTTCCCTCTTCATGGCTTAGTTGAGATCTTTCGGATCTATACATATCCTAACTTTGCCTTTCCGTAGCGATACTACCATAGAACTGACCCACTCAGTAGGTTCATAAGTCCTTGTTATGTACCCATTAGCTTCCATATCCTTAAGCTTCTCTATTGCCTTTGGTTTTATTGCTGCAGCCAATTTACGAGCAGGGTGTACAACGCCTTTAATGCTTTTGTCGATCGGGATGCAATACTCTCCAGGCAGAGTACCAGTGGTTTTGACCAGTTCTGGGAACTCACGAGACAGTTCCTCGTGTGCGTCAATTCCATTGGTAATAGGGTCTACATGTATACGTTGCAGTAATCCTAGGTTTTCAGCTAAATCACCACTTATGATGTTTTCCTGACTGATATCTACTACCTCAAAGCTTGCAGTTAATTGTTTCCGTTTAAAGGCTATAGGGAGTTTAACAGTTCCCAGTGGAGTAATCCTGCGATCGGTGTAAGACTTTAAAGTTCTTAGTGACTTTTCCATCACAAACCCTGTCTTGAGGCTTTGTAGCTGTGATGCTACTAAAATGCAGCACTTTGCACCTGTATCAATGCGGAATGGGACAAGTTTCCTCTGTACTTCTAGATTTACAAGCCATTTATCATCAATGTTGTTGACAGGCTGTGTAGTACAAGTATATATATCTATTAACATTGTGTCGCCCGGGTTTGAATCCTCCGATTCGTGTATGGCGCTTACATGTCTGAGTCTTCTCCAGCACATTTTTGTCCAGTGGCCAGGTTTTTTACAGTATGAACACTTCGTATCTTTTGCTGGGCATTTACTTTTGTCGTGCAATAACCCACATTTGCCACATTCACCATTTTTAGAATCTCTGTTGACATTTGCGTTTTGGTTCTCAGTGGCTGTCTTATTTTTCTTTGTGACAGGTTTAATTTTGGGTTTTTGTCTGTGTTTTTGCTGGGTACTCAGACGTAGAACTTCTTCAACTCTCATTAATTTAAGCTGAGACTTTGATAATTCATATTGGCGACCAATTTCGATAGCTTTAGCGATTGTGAGTTTTTGTCCCTGATCAAGGAGTCTCTCTTGGACCTTTGTAGATTTCACTCCACTGATTATTAAGTCTATCAAAACATCATCACTGTCTGTGTAATCACAGTCCATGACTAGTAATTTCAGGTCTTTCACAAAGTTATGAAATGTTTCTGTTTCAGTTTGTTTACGTTGATGCGCTTTGAACCTAGATACTCTTTTATTCTTTTTAGGACTTATGTATTCATCCAACTTTGCGAGTATTATATCAGGGTCATCTTCCTCGCCCTCGCCGAAGTTCAACGTTTTGTAAACCTCACGCCCGTCTTGACCAATCCACATGCCTAACCATCCAGTTTTATCTTTTTTCTCTGACTTAGCTAAAGGACATTTAAATGTGATTTCTACGTGTTGCTTAAACCGTCTTAATTCTTGATATTCACCACCTGCACCCCAGTTCATTTTGGGTTGGTCGAATGCAAGACTTGCCGCCATTTTGTTTTACAGCGGGTACGTCCAAAAATATCTATCAGACACCGAAATCCTGTTGTGTGCTATTACCGCCGTTTATGTACGGATAAAACACCATGCCCTCGGCGTTTAAAATGTCTTTGGGTCTTAATATGTATACCTGACAGGAAACGTGTGTTTCTACAGGTCGAATCCAGTCTTTTCTGACACCATGTAACAACAACGTGGTCGTGGACACTTACCTCATTTGCTATGAAGTCGCTTAGCACATTATGATATTACAATCTACAGTGACACCGAGAAGTTTTTCTGTTTTTACATTTTCAATCACAGTGTCATCGATTACAATATTTAATTGCCGATAGATATATATTTGATGCAATAATTTTATAGATGTTAGATATATATATTTAATGTAATTTTTTGTAGATGTTAGATATATATTTGATGTTATATTTTTATAGATGTTAGATAATCATTTGATGAAATAATTTTTGATGGATGTTAGATATATATTAGATGTAATAATGTTTGATGGATGTTAGATATATATTTGATGTAATAATGTTAGATATATATTTGATGTAATAATGTTTTGATAAATGTTAGATATATATTTGATATATTTGCAATAATTTTATAGATGTTAGATATATATTTGATGCAATAATTTTATAGATGTTAGATATATATTTGATGTTATATTTTTATAGATATATATATTAGATGTAATAATGTTTGATGGATGTTAGATATATATTTAATGTAATAATTTTTATAGATGTTAGATATATATTTGATGTAATGTTTTTATAAATGTTAGATATATATTTGATGTAATAATGTTTTGATAAATGTTAGATATATATTTGATGTAATAATTTTATAGATGTTAGATATATATTTGATGTAATAATGTTTGATATATATTTGATGTTAGATATATATTTAATGTAATGTTTTTATAGATGTTAGATATATATTGATGTAATTTTTTATAAATGTTAGATATATATTTGATGTAATAATGTTTTGATAAATGTTAGATATATATTTGATGCAATAATTTTATAGATGTTAGATATATATTTGATGTAATAATGTTTTGATAAATGTTAGATATATATTTAATGTAATGTTTTTATAGATGTTAGATATATATTTGATGCAATAATTTTTGATTGTTAGATATATATTTGATGTTATATTTTTATAGATGTTAGATATATATTTGATGTAATAATGTTTGATGGATGTTAGATATATATTTAATGTAATGTTTTTATAGATGTTAGATATATATTTGATGTAATGTTTTTATAGATGTTAGATATATATTTGATGTAATAATGTTTTGATAAATGTTAGATATATATTTGATGTAATAATTTTTATAGATGTTAGATATATATTTGATGTAATAATTTTTAGATGTTAGATATATATTTAATGTAATAATGTTTTGATAAATGTTAGATATATATTTGATGTAATATTTTTATAGATGTTAGATATATATTAGATGTAATAATGTTTGATGGATGTTAGATATATATTTAATGTAATGTTTTTATAGATGTTAGATATATATTTGATGTTATATTTTTATAGATGTTAGATATATATTTGATGTAATAATTTTTATAGATGTTAGATATATATTTGATGTTATATTTTTTATAGATGTTAGATATATATTTGATGTAATGTTTTGATAAATGTTAGATATATATTTGATGTAATGTTTTTATAGATGTTAGATATATATTTGATGTAATAATGTTTTGATAAATGTTAGATATATATTTGATATAATAATGTTTTTATAGATGTTATATATTTGATATATATTTTGATGATGTTATATATATATATATTAGATGTAATAATGTTTGATGGATGTTAGATATATATTTAATGTAATGTTTTTATAGATGTTAGATATATATTTGATGTAATAATTTTTATAAATGTTAGATATATATTTGATGTTATATTTTTATAGATGTTAGATATATATTTGATGTAATAATTTTTATAGATGTTAGATATATATTTGATGTAATAATGTTTTGATATATATATATTTGATGTAATGTTTTTATAGATGTTAGATATATATGTAATAATGTTTTGATAAATGTTAGATATATATTTGATGTTATATTTTTATAGATGTTTTTATAGATGTTAGATATATATTAGATGTAATAATGTTTGATGGATGTTAGATATATATTTGATGTAATTTTTTATAGATGTTAGATATATATTTGATGTTATATTTTTGATAGATGTTAGATATATATTTTTTAGATGTAATAATGTTTGATGGATGTTAGATATATATTTGTGTTTGATATATGTTTTATAGATGTTAGATATATATTTGATGTAATAATTTTTGATGGATGTTAGATATATATTTGATGTAATAATGTTTATATATTTGATGATGTTTTCATAAATGATATATATTTGATGTAATGTTTTTATAGATGTTAGATATATATTAGATGTAATAATGTTTGATGGATGTTAGATATATATTAGATGTAATAATGTTTGATGGATGTTAGATATATATTTAATGTAATGTTTTTATAGATAATATATATTTGATTAGATATATATTATGATGTAATAATGTTTTTATATATGTTAGATATATATTATATTTGATGTAATAATGTTTATAGATGTTAGATATATATTTGATGTAATGTTTTTATAGATGTTAGATATATATTTGATGTAATAATGTTTTGATAAATGTTAGATATATATTTGATATAATGTTTTTATAGATGTTAGATATATATTTCATGTAATAATGTTTTGATAAATGTTAGATATATATTTGATGTTATATTTTTATAGATGTTAGATAATCATTTGATGTAATAATGTTTGATGGATAATATATATCTACTTTTAATATATGTTATATATAGTAGTTATGTTTACTCAGTAGTATCACACGATCAGTATCAACAAATTGTGAGATTGCTGTTGCCAACAAAGGCATTGGTAGATCCGAGTCAGACAGGGAAAGCAGTGGAAGTGATAATGCGCCTTCCGAGTCATGATGGAGGAGATTCCACTTGGGATAATATTCATCATTTGATATTTCCCATCACTCAGTTGACGGGCCTATTGCTCCGTTGGAGAGGTATGAGCCACATTTATAGCATTTAAAGGTAGTAAAAAAATATAAGAAATCCATGATAAATGTGGAAATTAGCAACAGACTGTAAAGCAAAAATAGTATTTCTTTGTGTTCAATCTACCTAAAAACCATAGGAATCCATGGTTAAAGGGAGGTAACTGTTGTTTAAAAAGTAGAAGATTTCAATATGTATATCTATACACTATTTATAGACACAATCTACATATAGTAGTTATACTTCTACTCAAGTGACGGATTCAAAAATGAATGAATAAAGAATCAACTGTTTATAACTTTACCCGAATCAGATATATATATATAACACATATATATATGTTATATA